CGGAGCACATTTCTCGGACCAGTTTACGAAGCCTAGGACTACTCCGGCTACCTGTGTCAACTGTAATGGTGAGCACCCAGTCTGTTTTACGGGCAACGGTGCAAGATCCAGGAAAGCACCAAAAACAAGAAAAGCTCGTCCCGTGAAAGCCACCGACACTGCCACCAGATTTTTGCAGCTCTTCAAGGAGCTGAAAGAACTTTTGAAGGACGAGGAGCTTATTAAGCTTCTTCGTTCTTTACTTCCAGAGTCCCAAAACTGATTTTGGACTCACTTTCTCTCAGGATTTTCTCTATCCTGACTTCACAGTTCACCGCTGTGATTCACTTTTATTTTTATCCCATTTCTTATAGGTACATATGACTTCTAGTTTTACGACCTACCAGAATCGACGAATCAGTTAGTGGCCCTTCGGGCCAAATACTGAGATTTCGCCCATATCCAGCATGCAGTTCACCTCATTCCACTCTTCAACACAGTTGCAGATTTTAGTGCATTTTTTTAATAATCTTGTTGTTTCATGCTGGTGTTTAGGTGAAATGAGTGAACATCATCGTTTAGACGAATGTATGAGGTGGAGAATTGTGAGTAGACTTGAGGCAGGCCAGTCCCAAGCTCAGATTGCTAGGGAATTGGATATTACACCAAGCGTCATTTCTAATTTGTGGAGTCAATTTAAAACTAGTGGGACAGTATGCAGACGACCAGGACAAGGTCGCCCGAGGGCTGCAACGGCCAATGAAGACCGGTATTTGTTCCTTCCAGCTAAGTGCCAGAGCACGGCCACAGCCACTCAATTGTCTAGGGGCCTCACGACTGCTACAGGAACATCAATTTCGAGTAAGACAGTTTCCAGGAGACTCCATGAAAGAGGGCTGCCTGTGTGGAAAATAGAGTGATAGTTTTTGTATATATATGTCTGACGTCAAAAAGTTATTTTATATGTTCTTTAAGTTGTAATTATTATATTTGTTAAAAGAGAAAATGGCAGCGATGTTTGTATTCGAATGTTGATTAAATGAAAATGGTGAATAATGCATCGTGTCAAGTTATTTTCTAATAGAATTATTGTAATCTTGTAAAGTATGGAAATTAAATGGAGTGAGATAATTAATAAGCTGAGTACGACTGAATGAAACAATATTCAGGGAGATACTACCGATATTTGTGGTGACCGACGAACGTGATTCTTTAAAAGGTACTGTGTCATTAAGTTTTAAATTATGGAACTCTTGATTAAGAAACGCTCTCCAATTTGAGGCAATTTTACCAAAACTTACAATGCATTAACTAAATTGCTGTCGGAAGAAAGTCCTCAGGAGGAAAGTATTAAAGTAAATTACGCTCACTTAGAAAGAATTCATCGGTCTTTGGCGATATTGGACAATGAAATCTGCGACATGTTATTAGATACTTCCGAGCAGCAAAACTGCGATGATGAATATAACGCTATCGAAGTATATACTGAAAAAATGGATTCTGCAAAAGTAAAGTTCGAGTTTTTTTTGGCGAAAAACGCAAGTTTAGATAGAGCAAGTTTAGATGGTTGTTCGTTGTCAGCGAAAAGGAAATTGAAATTGCAAAAAATAGAATTGGTAAAATTTAGTTCAGAGTTAAAAGATTGGCTTTCCTTTTGAAACCAGTTTAAAAGAATACACAAGGATAATGAATTAGAAAATGAGGATAAATTCTAATACTTGATTCAATGCATCAGCAAAGGAACAAGAGCAAGAAATAATCGATAGCTTTCCGCCCACAAGTGAGAATTATAAAAAGGCGATTGAACGTTTGAAATCCCGATTTGGGCGAGATGAGTTGTTAATTGAATTTTATGTGAGACAGCTTCTTCAACTGGATGTTCAAAATGCAAAAGAAGCCAAAAATAAAATTAACACAAGCAGTTTGTATGATTAGTTAGAATCATATCTAAGAGCGCTGGAATCAATTGGCTTGACCTCCGACAAATACGCTGCCAAGCTTTTTCCACTTGTAGAATCGTGTATTCTGGAGGACATTTTTAGAGTATGGCTAAGAAACCCAGGCGCTATTGCAGATGATTCATCAAATAATGTTTACAGCACAAAGTTAAAAAGTTTATTGGCATTTCTCAAAACCGAAGTAGAAGGAGACGAACGAATTCGTTTGGCGCAATCCAGTTTTGAAAATGATCGAAATCGTTTGGAGCAATCCAGTTTTGAAAATGAACGCAGCCAACGAAAAGAGAAATCGCCACAATTTACTACTGCTAATGATTTGTTCTCGGGAACACTTGAAAAGAAGAAAATAAATCATCCTTGTGTATTTTGTGACGAAGTGCACGACAGTAAAGAATGCTTTCACGCTCAAGCACTTGATTGGGAACAAAAGCAAGAAATTTTACGCAATAAGAAGTGTTGTTTTCTATGTTTGAAAATTGGACACCGATCAAAATTCTGCAAAACTCGCGTAAAATGTGTTTTGTGTAGCAAAAGGCATTTGGTTTTGATGTGTCCAGAATTGCCAGCTAACAAAATAACTGAAAAGAAATCCGACTTGGCCTTGCCAAAAGTCAGTTTGACAAGCCATTGCAATGCAGAAGACGTGTTACTTCAAACATTAATTGTGAAGTTAAAATCAAACGGTAAAATACGCCAAGTTCGAGTTCTGATTGATAGTGGAACGTAAAGGTCATACATACTTGAAAGTTCTGCTGAAACTATTGGCTTGGATCCAATAGTGAAGAAAAGTTTCATTCATGCATTGTTTGGTGGATTTAATGATGAAAAGGTGGATTTAATGACTCAGGAAAAGCAACATAAACTGTTTAAAGTAAATCTTGAAGCTCTCAGTGGAAATTTTTCATGTGACATAGAAGTTTTGAATCATCCAAAAATTTGCATTAAGATCCCTAGACTTAAACAGGGTTCCTGGAATAAGGAATTACAAGAAAGCAAAATATGGATAACAGATTATGGAGAAAACTGTCCTGATGTAGAAATTTTAATAGGAGCTGATTTTTGCGGCCAACTTTTTAACGAGCGCATACATAAGCTTAAATGTGACCTAATAGCGTGTGAAGCTTATTTGGGTTGGAAAGTCATGGGTAAAGTGCCTGGAGAGAGATTTGACCATACCTCAACCAACCTGATAACTTCATTGTTTGTAACAAACGCATCAATAGCCAATCTCTGGGAAATGGATATCCTTGGTATAAAAGATCCTATTGAAACCAAATCCAGAAAAGAAAAGGAAGCAGCAGCTGTCGATCATTTTAGCAAAACTTTTTCAATAAACGAAGATGGCCGTTATGATGCCCATTTACCTTGGAAAGAAGCAAATTGTGAGTTGATTGACAACAGGGACATTGCAAAGAAAAGACTTATTTCGACGTCTCTGAAGCTCATTCGGGAGGAAAAGTATAATGCAGTTACAATGCAGTTTTCAAAGATTGGGAAGAATCAGGGATAATAGAAGTATTACCCGAAGAAGAACATCAACGTCCCTCTATTTACTTGCTTCATAGAGCCGTTATAAAAGAGAACTCTACAACCAAAATAAGGCCTGTATTTGATGCTTCTTGTCATGCAAAAGGGCACCTGTCACTGAATGACTGTTTGGAGAAAGGCCCAAATATTCTAGAAGAAATTCCCCCTATATTAATGAGATTCCGCAAGGCTAAGATTGGCGTAGTTTCCGACGTCAGAAAGGCATTTCTCCAGATATCTGTTTCAAAGGAAGATTGCTATTCTCTCCTGTTTTTGTTTTGGAAGGATGTTGAAAAAAGACAAATGAAGGTGTTCCGACATCGGCGTGTTGTATTTGGACTTACATGCAGCCCATTCCTATTAGCTGTTGTATTGAATAACTTGATAGAAAACGCCCCTTTAGAGATGCAGGAAACGGCAGACATCTTACGAAGATCCTTTTTGTAGACAATTGTGTTATCTCTTTGCCAACTGAAGAAAGAATGATAACATTCATTTATCAATCGAGAAATTTATTGGAAAGAGGCCGTTTTGACCTCAGAGGTTGGGAACATTCCAATTTCTACGAAATAAAAAATTCTGAGAAACCCATATCTGTTTTGGAATTACAATAGGATAAAAACGAAGATACTCTTATTTGTGATATACAATCAGTTGAAGAAGCGAAGAAAAACGTGACAAAAAGAAATGTCCTTTCAACTGTGAATAAAATATTCGATTCTCTTGGATTTTTATGCCCTGTGACAGTCATTCCCAAGCTTATTGCGCAACAAACTTGGAATGTCAAGATTGGTTGGGACGCAGAACTTCCAGAAGAAATCCAAAATAAGTTTGAAGTCTGGATTAAAGATTTAGAGTAACTATCCAGCGTTAAAATTCCCCGATGTCTTGATACATGCCAGCCCAACTCGCAAACAAGCCTTCATGTCTTTATGGATGCAAGTAAACTAGCGTACAGTGCTGTTGCATTCCTTAGGAGGGTTGAAGTCAAAACTATAAGTGTTTATTTTATTCAAGCGAAAAGTAGAGTCTCTCCTTTACACAAGATGTCAATTCCCAGACTTGAGCTACTTACATGCTGTATTGGAGCACGACTCGCCCATTCCGTAATGAAGGCAATGGATTTTGTACCCACTACCGATTGGACAGATTTCTCAACCGCTCTCAGTTGGATAATAAGGAATGAGAACTGTGGAGTCTTTGTTAATAACCGAGTAAGCGAAATTAGAACGCTTTCAAATAAAGATTCATGGTAACATATTTCCGGAGAGCACAATCCCGCCGATTTATCTTCAAGGGGTTGTTCAATTACAGCCTATTTAAGATCCAAATGGTGGGAGGGGCCGTTATGGTTGAGACAAGACGAAGAAGATTGACCAAAATCAGAAGTACGAATAGATGAAGAGGAAGTTTCAAGAGAAAAACGAAAAGGTCTTGACTTATCGTCTACCTTTCTCGTTACTGAGGAAGAGAGAAAATGGTACAACAGAAGGTTTTCAAATATTAATTTTAACTAAATATTCTCAAATACTTAGAATGATTGCCTGGATCCTCCGTTTTTCAAATAACTCACTTAAAAGAAATAAGAAAATTGAAGGTGAACTATTAGTTACTGAATTAGAAATTGCAGAAAAGAAACTTGTAAAATTTATTCAACAAGACCATTTTAAGCAAAGTGAATGTCATAAACAGCTGAAATCGCTTTGTACCTTTCATGATGATGACGGACTTTTTAGACTCAAGACCAAGATCATAAGACGTCAAGATGAAGAAAACTTCTTGTGTCCAATCATTCTCCCATCTAATAATGATGTAGTCAACAAACTCATCCATGAACGTCATTTAAAACTCTCACATGCTGGAACTCAGGTTGTATTGACGAATATTAGGCAGCAATTCTGGATTTTAAGAGGCAGAAAAACTGTGCAACGTGAAATAGCGAAATGTGTCCGGTGCAGGAGGCATGCTGCTAAAGGAGTTGAATCTATTCCTACTTCACTACCAGAAGATGGAACCAGGGATACTTTAGTCTTTGAGGTAATTGGAATAGATCTGGCAGGACCGTTGTACATGAAGACTGGGGAAAAATTGTGGATTCTACTATTCACCTGCGCGGTGTATTGTGCTATTCACCTTGAGCTACTAAAAAATGTGTCCACAAACTGTTTCCTTTTAGACTTAAGAAGATTCATAGCTCGCGATGGGTGGCCTAGAATAATATATAGCGACAACGGAAGCAATTTTCTTGGAGCCTCGATTCTTATAAAAAGTCTCAACTGGGATCAAATAATTCGTGACACTTCAATCTACAGAATACAATGGAAATTTAATCCACCAGCTGCACCATGGTGGGGCGGTTGGTGGGAGAGAATTGCGCAAATGGTGAAAAGTCTATTAAAAAAAGTGTTAGGAAAAGCTTGTCTTGTTTACGAACCATTTTGTGTGATGTAGAAGCTGTAATTAATGCTTATGTCACTTGATAGACTCTTAATGCACTCTCACTTATGTCTCAGATGATCCAAGAGATTTGGTTCCCCTATGTCCATCTTTGTTCATTCAGGATATTCCAACTGTTGGTGTCCCAGATTTGGATCATTTGGATGATGTTAATATTTCAAAAAGGTTGAGATACCAGCTAGGGCTACGTAAAGAATTCCGAAGACTATTCCGAGATGAATATCTCAGTCTTTTAGTGCAGTCACCTGTAAAGAATAGGTAACTAATCAAAGAGCTAAAGATAGGTGATATTGTGTTAATTAAGTGTGATAATAAGAAGAGAATGGATTGGTCACTTGGACGAATTATTGAAGTTTTTCCTGGACATGATAATTTCATTTGTGTGGTTAAAGTTAAAACTGCGAATGGAGAATTGACACGACCTGTTAAAAATATATACCCCTTAGAGATTTCATGTAGTAATGAACTGTGCGAGAAAGTAGACATTACCAAAACTGAGTCTGTGGCACCTGAAGTTGTTGTCAATCAAGACTCTGATACAACTCAGACTGTTGCTCCTAGAATTGTGGTCGCTCCAGACTCTGATTCCAAGAATGATCAAACTAGGTGCGGAAGAAGAATTAGACTTCCAAAACGTTATGATAACTAATTCAACTTCTCATTATTATTTGTAAACTGTTCTACCTTAATTTATATGAATGTTGAATTATATGTGTGTCGATTATATGTGTGCGTATGTGATTGAGTTGAATGTTTTAAAATTAGTTTAACATTAAATGTTTTGATAAATTAGCATTTATCAAAAGGTAAAGGTGGGAGTATGTGGAAAATAGANTGCAGGTTTAGAGGAAAAACGGTTTATTTCCCTTTTTTTCTACAAAAATTACGATTGAATTACCATTTACATTTTGAAGGTGATTAAATTTAAGTAAATCAATAAAATTGGTACCAATCAATAAAATTGGAAAATTGGTACCTGCCGCAGAGTTATTACTCAATAAAGTTGGACTCATGGGATAGAGTATTCTCCTCCGAATGAGGTGCACCGAATTCGAATCCCAGTGATGGCTGATCGATATGAATTCTACACCCAGCTTTTACCGACCACAGTGCTGACGTGAAATATCCTCAGTGGTAGGCGGATCATGGATTAGAGTTCCCTTGGTATCAGACTAACCATGGGAGGATTTCGTGGTTTTCCTCTCCATGTAACTCAAATGCGGGCTAGTTCCACCAAAACGTCCTCCACGAAGGCAAAAATTTCTTCCACTACTTGATCCAGGAGTTCTCTTGTCTGCTGGATTAGGTTCAAAATTACAAGGCTACGGAGTTAAACATTAGTTGTAATAAACTCGAAATCTGGTGGGCTGCTCAATGACTGTTATAAAATAAACTAATAATTTGACCACGATATGTTGGTTGATGGTAGAGCTATGGACTCGTGTTCGTGAGAATGGGAATTCGAATTGAGCCGGCCCAATTATAAAATGGTGACTGGTGCATGTTAAATCTGTCGGGGTCATAAACTCCTCCGAGTTCTCGTAACAATTCAATACCTCTGGGTATTGATCCAGGAGTTTCCTTGTCTTCTGGATTGGTTTTAAAATTTCAAGGCTACGTAGTTAAACATTGGTTAAAAATTGAGTTAGTGAATTGAGTTTCAACGGCAATTATTAAAAAAAAACTAATAATCAAACTGCATTTTCTTGTATTTTTTATAACTCCTTGCATATTTTCTACACACCTTCATAATTTTATGTTTCTAAGTCGAACAGATTTTGATCTGCAAAGAAAAATGTATGTCTTACAGGAAACTGATTTTGATGATGTGATAGAAGATTCGCCTCTCAAAAAGCGCGAAAAGTATAGTTACCTTAAATTTTCGATAAAAAAATGATGTATATAAGCTTTTATAATTAATTTATATGTTTTTTTACTCCTAAAATAAAAAAAATTTTAAAAATTATTCAAGAAAAAAATTTTTTTTCTCTAAATTTACTCATCAAGGGCTCCCAGATAATGATAGGCCCTGGGCCCCTATAAACATAAAAACGGCTCTGTAATCTTGTAAAGTATAGAAATTAAATGGAGTCATATAATTAATAAGCTGAGTACGACAGAATGAAACAATATTCAGGGAGATACTACCGACAGTATGCCAGGAAGCCCGTTATTTGCATCCCACTCACTCACTCCCACTAAAGAGCGCGTGCAGAATGGTGCAGACAACATTAGAATTGGACACAGCTTCAATGGGCTAATGTTCTCTTCACCAATGAGTCCAGATTCAGTCTACAACCTGATTCTGGACGGTTATTGATATGGAGGGAACCTGGAACCCGAAACCATCCCAGCAACATTATCGAAAGGGACCATTCTGCTGGTGGAGGACTCATGGTTTGGGCAGGGATCATGCAAGATACCCGCACACCGCTCCATGTGTTTGACAATGGTTCCGTGAAAGCCCAGAGGTACAGACAGGAGATCCTTGAGCCCTATGTGCGTCTTTTCAGGGGCGCTGTTGGCCCTGAGTTCATTTTTAGGAACGACAATGCGCGACCACAAAGGGTTCTCATGGTTGATGAGTATCTGGAAAGCGAGGATATTTAACGAATGGATAAGCCAGCCAAATCCCCTGACCTGAATCCTATTGAACATGCTTGGGATGCTCTTGGGAGAGCTATTGCGATGCGCCAACCTCCCCCCAAAACCATGCTGGAGTTAAAAATTGCTCTGGTGGATGAATGGGAAGTTCTTCCACAACTCCTCCTTAACTCCCTTATTAACAGCATGCATACTCGTTATGCATGCTGTCTGTCTGTCAGGGGTGACCATACACCATACTAGAGGCAACACACACTGTACAAGCCTCACTTTTATTGTCATCTTTTATCCTTAAGTTCAGACTACATTGGATTTATTGGCAATAGGTCTTGCCAGTGAATGGCACTTTCATTTTTGTTTTGCATACTTTATTATCATGGAATAAGCTATATCCATACCAAATTTCATTTATTTATATTCAGTATTTTTTGTATTTAGGAAAATGTCCTCCATCTCTTAATTTTGTCCTCCAGTGTACGTTAGTTTCTATCTTGATTTTCAAATGGAGTAAAATCTTTTAAGTTGGAAAACTGTACGGAATTGAAAAGTACATTGAACATAGATCTAAAAGAAAGTGTCATGGAAATTCAAAAAAAAAATTTTTGACAATTAAATACGAAAAATGTTAAGAAAGGGGAAAATATTGTAGTGCATTCCTATACAACTGAAAAGAGCAAGAGAGAAAGGTCAAAGGCATGGAACTGGTCTTCTCCCCAGATGGCGTATTCGAGCGTTGCGATCGCCTAATGTACTTATCTTGCACTCATATGCATTGCCAAATTTGCATGCAGTGAAAACAGTTCATAAAGTAAGAATGGGCTTAAGTTGAGCAGAAGCAGGCTGTTAAAAACGTTTCCGTTATGCGTTGCCTTTGGTTACGGATCTAGTTCAGCCTTGCATTGGCATACAAGATGTGTGATGCAATACTTTCTCTTTTTGTTTACAAAATAATGCTGATCATTAGTTTATGGCGTACGATGGTATTACTGATTTGTCAGAAAGTTAGTAATTGGAGCTGGAGTAGAACGAAATTAAACATAAATTTACTCTTTCGAAACTCTTCCTCCGTTGCTAAAAAAAAGCAGTTAGTTATCTTAGGAAGTGGATGGGGGAGTTACAGTGTTTTGAAAAACATAAAAAAAGATTTGTATGATGTCAAAGTTGTAACCCCACGAAACCACTTTCTGTTTACTCCTTTGCTATGTAGTACTGCTGTAGGAACTCTTGAGTTTAGGTACATTTTTTATGGAATTGTTAATTGACTTGGTTTAATTTAGTATTATTTCTAAATTAAATATTTGTGTTGCAATGGTTCTTTATTTGTAGTAACTTTTGTACGATTAAAAAGATTGTTGATTTATTATAAACCTAGTTTTATTATTTAATTAATTGTTTCTACTGAGAATTAAGAATGCTTTAATTATTTTGCGTTAAATGCATTTTTCATAATATGTTTGAGTACTTTATCTGAACTACAAAATATTATGGGTTCCTTTTTTTAAAAAATAAATGCTAATAAATAAGTTTCTTTGAGCTAAGTTTTCCCATCAGGACTTATATAAAATTCGTTGTAGTAAATGAGAAAGAAAAGGACAAGAAAACAAAAGAATTCTATGTATGAAGTAACAAGGATTGCAGTATTAAATTTAGCTCTAGGAGAATACTCTTGCTGGAGAAAATACTAAATGTCTACTTTCTTTTTATATATAAGTGATAGTTTTAAGAAATAAATTGAGATTCGAAAATATAACATTGGATAACTATTTTGACATTAAGAATAAGCTCTTTAGAGTCAGAAAAAAAATATTTAAAAATTAATTATTTAATGCATATTTTTTCTAAATTTTTTACCATTAGTTTGTTTGTGACTAAATTTGTGTATGGTATATATATATATATATATATATATGCTTTACAAATATTTTTTTCCTTTGTGTTTTTCTTATTAAGTTATTTGTTCTTATTGAAAACCCAGCACATCATACATTCTTGTGAAAAAATTTGATATTTGCTGTAATACTGAAATCAATTCAATATAAGTGTATAAGTGTAAATAGTTCTGTTAAGCATTTTTTCCCCCATGAATTAGGTAAACAGAGTAAAAAGAATTAAAGTTCTCAAGAAGAACTAAAGTTCTTCTCAAAATTTATTATATGTTGATAATTTCATGTAATTTTTAATACTTAACAGTTTCTTCTAACTCTTTGATTAATAGTGGCAAATATAAATTCTTATTCTAAATAAATGTTATTAACAGCCTCAATCTTTGGAACATTGTTTCATAAAAATTTTATCTTGCGCAATTTTAAAAAAATTTTATAATTTTTTTTACCAGCTTCTATAAGTACTCATTTTTATTCTTTGCATTTATTTTAATCATTAAATATTTTTTTCCCTAGATCAATCATTGAACCTATAAGAAATATAGGCTTTGAAGATGCTCGAGATTTTATGCTTGCTCATGCGGAGGAGTTGGACATACTAGATAAAACTGTTATTTGTAGAAGCGTGTTAGATCCAAGTGATACATTTTCTATTCGGTATAATAAGTTGGTTATTGGTGTAGGCTGTTTGAGCAATACTTTTGGTGTTCCTGGTGTCGAAAAACATGCCTGTTTTCTAAAGGTTTGTGTCTTTCTCTTAAAAGTTGTTTCAGAATATGAGATGGCATGGAAAAATGCGTCTGAAAATATTTTAAAATCAGCTTTAAAATTTTTGAAAACTTATTTTTTGAACATGTTACTGTGGCAAAATAAATTTTAGTTCAAAAGATATAGGCTATATTTATTTATAACCAGAAGTTTACAATTGAAAATTATGAGTTTCTGATGTTTAAAGATTTATTTTCTCAAAATAGTATTTTCCTTCTCACATTCTGTCAATTAAAAAAAAAATTATTTACTAATGCCTCTCTTTGTTTAACAAATGATTAAAAAATAAGTTTTTAGTTTTATTAAAATTTCATGACTAATTTTAGCATATATTTGGTAAGCATTATAGCAGAACTTTCTTATGCTTTAAAAACAATATTAAATACTTAATTTTTGTACTCAGTATTTTACATTAAAATAATTATGTAAAAATAGAAAAAATTTCTGTTTTAGGAAACACTTTTTTTAATAGTAACAAATCTTTTTATTTTGCTAGTCCATATTTGCTGTCCATATTTTTATCAGTAATTTAATTTCTGCCGTTCTGTATTTTTCTTTGAGTATATTTCAAATGAATGACACTGTACAATAACATGGTAACTTTTCATTTTTATTTTAAGTCACTTTTATTTCTTCTCATTCATGCCTGACAAGTCTCAAAAATGTGTGTCCATTTTTGGAGAACTTATTTGGATTTTGACTGTTATTTGCTATTTATATATTTTCGTGGCAAATGAAGTTTTTAGTCAAGCAATAAATCTGAATAATTTTCAGAAGTTGCTGTAAATTGTTTAAAATTTGTGTTAACATTAATAATTAGAAAAATTGTTCATCTGAATAATGTAAATGAAAATTGATTTATTTACGTATCTTTTTCAGGAAATTGCAGATGCCCAGAAAATTCGTAAAACCATTTTGTCTAACTGCGAGAAAGCATTATGTTCATCTCTAACTAAAGAGGAAAGTGAGCGACTTCTTCATACAGTTATTGTTGGTGGTGGGCCGACTGGTGTTGAATTTGGAGCTGAATTGTATGATTTTAAAGTCAAGGTATATTTAAAATTTAAACAAAATGATCTTTTAAATATTGTGTAAATTATTTATGTACTACTTTTCTAAAAAAATATAAATGTCTTTTCTTAGCTTTTTATGTTTTCTTTTCTTAACATGACAACTGTTAAATATGTTAATTTTCAAACAGTGTAATTTTTCTGAAAACTGTTACAGTTTTTTTAGATTTACGCTTAAAAAAATCCAAAATAGTATTGTGGAAATATAAAGGCATTTTTGCTTCGAAAAAGATTACTTTACTTTGTAAACTGCCTAAAAAAGTTTGATTTTATGTGTATAATGTTGCTGGTTACTTTAAATATTTATTTACCAGTCTCTGATTATTTTATAATATATGAGTTTTTAAAATGTTTGATTACTTTTTAAGAGATACAAATAAAATAGAAATTTCATTTTATATCCATATATATTTTTGTTGGTTATTTTAAATATTATTATTGAAAGCTATATTAAGGGTTTGAGTTTTAAAAATTAATGATGAATTACTTATTAATCTTATTTAATTGTTAAGGGTAAGCTCTATGGTTTAATTCTTTTTTAGTGTCATATTTTCAAGATGTCAGGAGGATGGATACCTACTGTTAAAAAAACTAAATTTGAAAACTTACAATTTTGACCATAAGTTTTATTGATATTGATAGACCTAGTTAATGTAATTGCAAAAAATAAGATAGTTTATGCAAGTCTTTTAATTGCCTGTCTCCCTTTTGAAAAAATAAAGCTTCAACATACATAGCTTCTGGTAATTCATGCCTGGAGTTTTTTTCTCTGAAAGATGACAGTTGATTAAATGACTCAAGTACATTAGCTCATTTTTGCAATTATTGACTTGATCACTTTTTGTGGAATACGACAGACATATGCTATTTTGATAATAGAAATAAAATGACCCGCTTTGTTTTTCACTAATCCTTGATATTGTAAAAATCAAGTAATTTTAAAAATTGTTAAATATTTTCTTGATATACTTTTTCTATAGGCTTATATAATTCTTATAGACTTTTCTTATCTAATTTTCATGTGTATGTCTTGTATGAATTCCACAACAACAAGAAAAAGAATTTCTCCAATTTTTCCCAATATGAAAACTTATATAAATCTAAGGCTGGCATAAAACTTGAAAAGCTGTAAAACATCATTTAAAGTTTAAATAAATAAAAGAAACTTGCATCACAAGAAATTGTTCTGAATTATTTAGTGAATGAAATTAAATGTTATAAAAACAGCAGTGCAAATAAAAAATGCAAGCTATTTCAAATTAGATTCATAGTGTATAAGAGGAAAGGAAAACGAACCACTTTGAATAAGTTTTGTTGTAATGATGCAAATTAGGGACTACTTTTTTATGCAAAGTAGGAGTCAATCCTAATGGTTGGAAGGGATGACCTCAAGTATGCTAATTAATTTGTGTAGACAATATTTTAAGTTATGAAATCAGACGCAAAAACATACTTTCTCTAAATAAACATACCTTTCTTTGGATGAATTTCTGGTATGTTTTAATTAGTTTTGTTTTTAGCAACTAGGTTTTAATTTTAAAGATTATTCTGATACTTTCTTAATACAATTGATAATTTTAAAACCATGTATTTTCTAAAACTTCTTTTAGTGCCAGTAAAATAAGCATGCCCATTTTTTTTTAAAGTTATTATTTCTAATTTTTCTATTATTCTTTCCTTTAAGTATTATGCTACTTATTTTGTTTTTAGGATGTTAGAAGGTTATACAAGCATAGTGAAGATTTGTTTAAAGTAACTTTAATTGAAGCCACCAATATTTTGGGAAGTTTTGACACAAAGTTAAGATCTTACGCCGAGAAAAAACTTAGTGAACGTCTGAACTTTTCTCTACTTAAATCTTCCGTTGTAGGTAACAATTTTTATATTTCTTCCCTTGTGCTGTATTTTGCATATGTTAATTTAAAATATGTCAAAACATTTGTGTATTTTGACTTCTTTATCATTATTATCAAATTGATTTGTACAATAATAATATGTTTATGTCCTTTTTTGTATATTAAACAGATATTCTGTGTGCACAGAAAGTTGAAATATAATGTTAAAAGAAATTATTAGATAACTTAATTTTTTTTTACATATTTAGCATTTAAAAAAAAAATTCGAAAATCTGTCACGTAGTGATTGTTATTTTATTTATTTATCTAATAACTTTTGCATTTATTTATTTAATGCAATTTTATTTATTATTTTTGTTCTCCAAAGACTAACATCAACGATTTTAAAAAATATCATATTTTATATTAATTTTAGAAGTAAAAGAAGATTGTGTAATTCTAAAAGATGGTACTAGTTTACGGTGTGGCTTAGTTGTATGGAGTACTGGTTTAAGTCCTAGAGCTTTCACTCAACGTCTTGATTTACCAAAAAACAATAAAGGACAAGTAAGAGGAACAATTAATTTAATATATTTTCTAAAATTGAACTACTTTTTTTTTCATTTAAGCTGATTTTTTTAATAAAATGCTTAATATTTATATAAAGTGTACCAAATATAAAACAATACACTTTACTGATTTTTGATCTTGTGAATAGATTTTCACATACTAAAATGCAATCTTGATAGTTCATAACCTTAAATAATGTAATCAATTTGTGCAAACAATATTTTAATTAACAAAATCAAACATGAAAATATACTTTCTCTGCATAAACATACTTTTTTCCACTAATTTAGATTTGTGATCCTCAAACTATAGGAGTAGTCAAGAGGTCCATAGTAAAGTTTTAACTTCTTAGCTTTGCCATACCCCTGGTACTATTTAAATAAATCTAATTCTTTTTGCACTTAATTAAGTAACTCATTTAATTCCATGCAAAATATAATTTTCTTAATTAATATGTTTTTACTGTCTTATTTAATGATAGTCAATTTTTAATTGAATGATATAAATTTGTACAACATTTTTAACTATGTTATTAATAACAGATTTTGAAAGAAAAATGTTGGAATAGTTCTTATTAGAACTAAAAATTGTAAAAAGCCGCTTTTTTAAAACTTAATTACTCAAAAATTATTTGATCAATTTTGTTTAAATTTTGTGTTTTTTATTTTATTTAAGATTACATCCTTTAGAATGAAATAAAAACTGGTTATATTACAACTTAAAATTTAATTGAAATTATCATTGACACGTTTAAACTTTGAATGCTCTCCTAACTTGACTATTGGCATCATATTTCCCAAATTTCAGCTACCCTACATATTATAAGAGTACAGAATTCAAAAAAGTTTTTTAAAAGAAAAGAAAGTTAAGAGAAAGTGTGTTTTTTTTTTTTTTTTTTTTTTTTTTTTTTTTNATAATTTAAAATATGTCGTAAACAAATGAATTAGTGTTAAAAGTATAATCATTAAGATTACATTTCGGTTTGTGAAAATTGAATCATAGGGTTCTTAGGTATTTAGATGTTCTTATTCTATTTTGCAGCTACTAATTAATGTTCTTATGGAAATAAGATTAGAATTTATTCAATTTTTAGTTAAAGACTTTAGTTTTTTTTTCTCTTCCTTGCTTATAAATGTCATTATTAAATAATTGTTTTTGTGCTTTTTTATTATCATTTAAATTTTAAATTTGAATTGTGTATTAAAAAATTTTAATAAATGTTTTCATTTAATATCCAACATTAAGAATGATGTTATGTAACCTCTGATTACCATACACCTAAAAAGTTACATTTTGGCCTGTATTCTTTCTGCTAAATGAAACCAGTTATTAAATAGGTAAATTGTGTATTTCTGCAAATTTCACAATTAATAAGGCGTTAAGGTTAAAAAAAATATGATTTATGCATTACTTTGACTTTTTTTAATACTAAGTATTGTGACTTCGTTTAAAAAACTAAGAAAAACTAGTTTATTATGCAATGAAGTCACCCATAATCCCAAATTAAGTTTTTGGTTATTATTTAAGAGAGTAATTGACATAATTGATTATCCCATTTAGATTTTAAAAATTTAAAAATATTCATTTAAGTGCAATGATTATATTTTTTTGGTTGATTTTTTTTTTTTTTTTTNATTGTTTTTTTTTTTTTTTTTTTTGAAAATAAAATATTTGTACTAATGTTTTCGATTGCTACTAAATACAGTAATTATACAATAATACTTTTAGCAATATATCTAATATTATATATAAATATTTTTTATTGAGTTGAATATATAAGTTTCTTTTAACAGATTTTGACTGATGACTTCTTGAGAGTCGTGGGTGGTCCATCTGGGGATGTTTTTGCCATAGGAGATTGTGCAGAAATAGAATCATGTCCTCTGCCTTGCACTGCACAGGTCAGTTGATAATGAAAAAAAAAAATAAAAGTGTCATTTTTGGTGTAAGATTTTTTTTATAGGGTTATTATTAAATTGCAGCAAAATATGCCAAATAAATTGAATGTGATTTATTTCATTATTATCTTTATTGTATTGATTTTTTTTTATTTAGAATTTTGATTTCGTTTATTCTTAATCTCTTACAATGAGATTATATTTTATCAAAATTTGTAAATTCCCGACTTTTTTATTAATTTATAATGTCTATAAAGGCAAAATTTAGCCCTTGTTTTGGAACTTCTAAAATAGCTATTATCCTCCATTACTTTGTCTCTAGTTAAAGAGTCTATTGTCAGGATTCTCATGGTCCTTTAAAAGTTTTAGTAGTGGTAGTAAATTTAGGTTATTTGTGGAAGAAATTTTTTAATACCACTTTGTCATTAAGTGGTTTAGAATCTAGAATTTTCTTGCAAATATACTTTAATTAGAAACTAATTTTTAGTGATAGTTAGACAGAAATTAAATGATCGACATTTGTTTAAATTTCGTTAACATTTTTTAAAATTTCCAACCCCCTCGGGAACCCTGATTGTGAATCCATGTAATCCTTATGAATTATTTTTGGTTTAAGTACATTTGAACTGAATTAAACAAAATAACCTTTTTTTTAAAAATATTATTATGTGAATTGGAGCAAGTATAATCTGAGCCAAAAAAGAATAGAGCTTCTCTGCAAAACTTTAAATAAAGTTATCAATACTTAAGGAAAGTTTAAGTTAGTAAACAGTTCCCATTTACTTTTAATGATCAAAAAAATATTAATTGAACATTTTATTCATTTAGTAATAATTATTGAAATAAAGAGTCTTTAAAATTATGAAATAAATTGTTAGAAATAGATGTTCTGCTGTGGAAGATTTTAAAGACATGAATTGATGAGAAAATTAAAAATAAGCATTATTGGAAATAAAAGTTAATTACTGTTTCTTAATTTTTTTTAACTTAAAGGAAAAAATAAGTTTTGGAACTTTTTACTATGTTAAACATTTTTATTTAAAATTTGGATTAGAAATATTTAATTAACAATATTTTTTAATAATATACTTCAAATAAATATCTGTGACTCCCTCTCTCTTATTTATATTGCATTTATTTCAATTTTAACACTACCTGAATTTTCAATATAAATTGCTTTTTTTTCTCTTTTCTTTAAGTTTTAATCTAGTCTATAAATAAAGGACATTTCTATTTAAGGAACAAATGTTGGGTTTGTTAGGTATGTCCTATTGGTACTATTTTGAAATGAGTTTTTTGCTTTTTGCTGCATAGCTATTATATCAACTGCAAAAGATCTTGCTGCAAACTTATTTTTGATGTTTAAATTAAAAAACAAAAATAATAAATATATTTATTGTAATTGAGGCTGTCCATTTTCGCCATCTGGCAAAAGTTAATGTTGTAAAATAAGTTGTGAATTCAATCATCTCAGGCAATTCTATAATCATGAAGTTGTCATCTTATTGTTATTCACTTTTTAAAAAAAATGATAAAGAGTTTCATCATATATTTTCAGGTTGCTGAACGTCAAGGAAGGTATTTAACTGACAGTTTGAATGGAGTAACAAAAAAACCATTTCATTTTCAATCATTAGGCATGCTAGCATATATAGGAGATTATAAAGCTGTGACTGATTTACCAGATTTAAAAGTACAAGGTACTATACATTTTATGAAAATAGTTTTTTGGTGTTTCTTGCACTTGATTATAGTATGTTTGTTTATAGTAATATTTTTATAGCTAGTATAAGTTCTGTGTGTATATATATTATATATACAGGACGTCGGTAAGGACTTCAAATTATTAGCCAAATATAAGAAAATATTAGCCCAATTTTAAACTTTTTCCCCAGTCAATTTTTTTTAAAACAATTTTTCCCATAGAAAATTTTTAAACGAATACAAATTTACTATAAATGGAATTATTTTATAAAACTCACATTCAAATCAAGAGTAATTTATTTTGCAATTGTGGAGGAGTTAATGAATGGGAGAAAAGAGGAAAAATATAAATGTTTTTTCATCTTTGAGGAAAAGAAACAATGGAAAAATGGGAACTGAGTATTTATAAAATAAAATATTTAAAGCTTTCTTTAATTTTTTAAAAAAATTTATTTTGTTTATTTCAATATTTGTTTTTAAGAATCTTTAAGGATTTAAACTTTCTCATAAAATCAAAAGTTTATAGACTATATTTAGATTGAAAAGTATGAGCCATTTACACTTATTTGTATTTTTCAAGATAAAAATCATTTGATTAAATAGAGCTGCAAATTAAGGAGCATTTCCATAAGGTGAGCATTTCCCAGCACAAGTGTAATTGAAGGGCTAACAAATTTTTAAAAATCATAGGTTTACCCTTATGCTTAAGGCAATATAAAGGAAATAACAAACATAAACACCAATAAACAAATTTACAGAAATGCTGAAGATTGTTACATAACTGTACAAAAGTTCCTTTGTTAGTGTTGAGGAAAAAAATAAAAAGTGATACATAATTCACTACAACTAGTATATTTTCAAACACCAAAGTTGGGAAACAATTAGTTTGACTTGAGGATATAATTAATACTTAAGCTTGGCGCTTTTACGAGAACATATCTAAGGTATTTTTTCTCTCATTGCGCAGACCATTAGTTTACTTTAAAATTCTTTTAGATATAAATAAATGTAGATTTATAATAATTTTTTTCTTATTCACTAACACTTTCTTTTGTATATTAAAAGCAATTATATATTATTATTATTCATAAAGAGGCAAAGATTGATATAGAAGGGGTTAACATATGAAATACCATGAGGAAAAAAAAGGACGTATTTTTTTCTGCTTGGAGTTATATTAGTTTGTATTTTGTTTTGTTTAACAAGTTAAGAATCAGAAACAGATATCTTTCTTAGAATTGCTGACATCTACGATACAATTGAACCAAGAACTCTGTCCAAGACATTTGTGATGCAAACTGGCTCACATGGCCTTTTTACTTTAAAAGCAATCCACATCCAGAGCATGTAACTGACAAATCACAAGATGAATATGGCTTCAATTATTTTTTAAATTTATATGTATGATTATGAAAAATTTTTAAGGTATATTTAGTGTTTTAAATGTTTCAGGTTTCACATCCTGGATACTTTGGAGATCCGCTTATTTAACAAGGTTAGGTTCCTGGAGGCTAAGAATGCAAGTTCCCATTGATTGGTTGAAAACTTTACTTTTTGGCAGAGACACATCAAATTTTCATTAAATAGATGTTAAAACGTTTCAAGTTATTATTTGTTAGTTTTTTTTCTAATACAGTTTTTAATTTTAATATGTTTTATAGGAATATGATTATTAAAATAGTTTTTATGTTATGCTATTACTCTTCATTCTCTCTTTCTTAAGAAGTTACAGGAAAATCTTTTGATTTGCTTGGAAAAATAAGAACATCTGTAAAATTCCAGAGTTCAATATTTGAAATTCCAAACAAAATATTTCGACTATTATATTCAAAAAATTATTTGTTAAATACAAGTAAATTAATAAACTAAACCTTTTCATATTGATCCTGAATTGAAAATAGAAAAAACATTTGCAATCAACTGACCATTTAATGTGTGTTGCTATTTTTAAAATTTATAACAGATGAATACCTAAAATTAATTTATATTAGAAAAGTGAATTATGTTTTGCAATAAACCCTTCAAAAGTTTTGTTGTGTATGAATAAAAATAATTTTTATGGATGTTAGACAATTTATATGGATTGAGAAAGAAAAAAAGTTTTTCCGAAAGTTTGAAGTTTATAAAGAGATGATGGGTAGCAGGCAGATGTTGATGAAACTAGGTGCAGAGTGTGCAGAAAATTAAACAGACCACCGTGAATAACTTTTGATGTAATGATCAGATCTTCATGTTCCAGGACTCAATCTTAATGGTTTGAGAGGTGATCTCAAATATGCTTATTAATTAATGCAAATAATGTTTTAAGTTGCGAAATCAATCAATGGATTGAAAAAGATACGTCAGAAATGAGAGAATATGACATTTCTGATCTTAGTTCAGATCTAAAATGTAAGCCAAACAGTTTCATCTGAAAAATATCCATGAAATTTGGTTTTATTAAGCCCTGGGAAACTTCAAATGCAAGATAGCTCACTACGCTAAACAAAGTCCTTGCATAAGAAACTTAAGATCTATCTACCAACATAATGGAATTAGCTTCCTCTAATATGTTATGTGATTTTATACAAAATGGAAATTAGCCATCAATGCTACTTTTGTGATTTAGTTTTCTTTCTGTTGTTTACTTTTGGTTGTAGTTTTATAAGTTTCACAATAGCATTGTTAATATGAAAAAAGCTATTAAAAAAAGAAAAACCTCCAGTTTCTGTTAATGTGAGGAAAATAAACTAGAAAAATTTCAAAACAATTCATGAGTAATATTTCAGTAAATATGCAACATTTTCATCTGGCAATTTTTAAAGGGATGGTATTTTTTTTAAATTTTGTACTTTTTATGAAATTATAAAATTTTTATAGCTGTTGTAAGGAGTGAAAATAGTGCTGAAAAATTCACCAGTAATATTTCATTTAATACACAACTTTTGATTAGTAATTTATTTTTATAAAACATTTGAAAAATTTGCAATTTTTGTGAAATTTTTAGGGCTTATGCGGGGAATGAAGATAATGCATAAAAATCCACGAATGATGTACTAATCCATATACAACTTTTGGGTGCTTTTAGATTATTTTTTTCTCTCCACCCTATTATACATGTTTTTTTTTTTACCAGTATGTAAATTTTGGTTCAATTTTATAATTTCGTTAAAATGGACTGATTTGATTATCTCAAAAAAGCGTGTTTCTTTATAATTAAAACACCACTTCTGAAAAATTATAAAATAGATATTAGCTGGATTTTTCCTAGTGATTCCTTTACGAAATAAATATTTTCAGTTAAACAGCGATTAATTTGCAGCATTTTCCCACTAACTACAATTGTATCGTTTAAAAAGTCACAAATATTTTACACACTAAAATTGCTTAAAACATCATGCTTTTTTCCTTTTTTTTATATAAATTACTCCATGTAAAAAAATTAGACGTTTTCAGAGAAGTTTGGACACATGTATCGAGATTTGAGAAAATTTTTTGTCCTAAGAGAGCTTGAAAGTTTTCGAGGACGATTATTGGAATTCGAAGACTGTTACATTAGAACAACGGTTCCCCATTTTTTTTTTAGGCAATGGAACCCTAATGGATGAACCCTCTTTCGACAGAACTTCAACTTTATAGATGAAGTAAATAAAGATAATTGCGGACGTATTTACCAATTAAAGACTTCATTTTAAAAGCTCTTAATAATGAGAATGAGCTTTTTTCATTGTTTTATCATTAATAATCATAAGCCAATTTTTATGTCCAAAAGATGAATTCGAAGTCACAAAGCTGTAACTAGTTGAGTTATAAATTTGTTTTAAGTGTAAATGTATGGGAGTAGCTGAGAATAAATAAAATGTGCAGAAATATGGTTTATTTTGAAATAAAAACTAAATCGAACTTCTGAAAATGTTAATGATCGTTATTTGAGAAACATTTCTTTATTTAATGGTTTGACAATTTCATTTATCACTTGAAAAGCGCGATAGGAAATAATAATGAAAGTTTTATAAATGCAGGATCTTTTCATAATTTATTTAATACATTATTATTAGAAAAATATCTATTTCTTTTTCAATGGTATTTTACTTTTAATAATTTCATAAGGGTAACCGAAATATGTAATAAGTAATTTATTTTTGATTGGATCTAACTATAATTAAAGGTTACTGGTTGAAACAAATGTTCTCGGAACACCTTTAACTATCCCACGGAAGCCTGTGTTGGGAATCGCTGCATTAAAACGTATCTTCTAACTATTTTGTTTATGTATGTATGATTCTGACTAACATTCAAATACAATACGCATCTCATTCAAAAAATTATCCATAAAATCTCTCAATATTAAAAGAAAAAATCTGCTCCATCTGTTCTCAATATCAAAACGCAAAAACAATAGAATGAAATATTGCACATTATTAGTGAAATATTTAAGAAACATTCTGAGTATTATCGTATACATTAATTAGAATTATTTTAGGCTAAAAATTAATAATTTTGATTCAAAAATTGATGGCGACCCAAAGCCAGCCCTCGAGTATAAAAAACTGCTTTTTTAATATTGAATGAGATAAACTTTGATGTAAAAAACTTCAAAATTTTAATTCAAGAAAATTTATACACTTGAGGATAAGGATGTTGATGACTAAAAATATTTGTAAAAAGTAATTTAAACTATAAGACACTGATTTTATTTTAAAACCGTCGTTGAACAGCCAAACCCAATTTTCGGGTTTATGGCTACTAATGTCCAACTACGTAGCCTCGTAATTTTGAACCCAATCCAGAAGACAAGAGAACTCCTGTATCAACTATCGGGAGAAAGTTGCCTTCGTGGAGGACTTTTCGATGGAACTAACCGCATTTGCGTCGCATGGAGAGGAAAACCTCCCACGGTTTACCTGACGGCAAGCGAACACTCACCCATGATCGGTCTACCAATGAGGATATTTTAAGTCAGCACCGTGGTCTTTGCAAACTGGGTGCGGAATTCGTATTGACCAACCATTGCTGGGATTCGACCCCTTCTGACCTCATTGGAAGCATAGAGCTCATAGGAAGCTATGATTGGAAGGCGAAAGCTCAAGGGTGACACGAAGAAATACATCTTTCATATGTTGGGGTAGCTAAAAAACACTTTTGAGGACTGCCAAATTATCATACTGACACACACCTGTATTTTTTGCTTGGAAAGGCCCTATAAATATCATATCATGAGAATATGTCAACTAAGTTTCATACTTTTTCTCAACAATCATGCTTTATCGTAACTTCGTCAAAAATTTATTACAAATAATGAAATGTTCACTGGGACCACTATTCCATAAATATTATGAACTATACTAAAATGGTAGAATTATTTGCTTTTAAATTTTGGTTCAATTTTATAATTAATATAATTATATATTAATTATAACTCGTCTTTTTTTTTCTTCTTCGTGACCACAATTCCTTTAACAACATTAGAGCTCAAGTAGGGTCAGGTGGTTGAAAGTAGATACGTGTAGTAAAGTGGGTATATGTAAGAATATCTATTTTCTCCATTTAAGTTGAGATAATTTATTAAATATTTTTAGAGATATTTGCTGGGATTGTGGCCAGCATTTTTATTTTAGTGTTAGAGACTGATAAAAAAAAGTTTAATGTTTACAAACTATCTTTTTATAATCGACTTATAAAGTATGCTAGTTTAAGCTGTTGATAAACTTTCTTTCAATATCATTATAAACTATCAAAAACTATTAATTTTTGTTCAAACAGGTAAAGGGACATCTAAAGAACAGATAGAAATTTAAGTATAAATTTTATTTATTATGAATATTTTTCTGAGGTGGAGGTAAAGTGGTTAGGCTTAGCAAAATACTGTATGATAGGGATATTTTTTTTACTTCTTCTGTGTTACTTTTAGTAAGAATCGAAAGCTCTATATTTCATCTAAAAAATAATTTGTTTATTTGATCTCCATAGTAATTATAAAGCTAAAAAAAATATCTTTTAAAGAGAAGAATGTTAAGGGGGAATAACAATAAAATTACTAAAATAGGATAATGGTAAGACTTTCTGAGATATAGATGAGCTTTCATACATGTTTCTGATGGGTTCATATGGCAGTTTTTCGCTGAAAACAGCCCATAAAGCGACTCAATTCAGTAAAAATACAAGTCTGCTATAAATCTTAAAAACTTTTAAATTATACCTCTGTAGATATTAATTTTTACACCATCATTTATATTTCATATAAACTGAAAATTGTTTCACTCTTTTAGCTTTCTGAGGAAATTGTGTAGAGTTCGGCAAAATATACTGCATCCAAAGTGAAAATTAATTTTGATAGCATTAGCACTTTAATTTAATAATACGCAAAAATTTATTTTTTAGCAATTGTTTTTTTTTAAATGCATTTATTTAAGAACATTTTTATTAGTGAAATATATGCTAATTTTAGAATTATACCCACTTTGGGGTAATGTAGGTATGTATGTATGTTTCATGAGGGTAACCGAAATATGTGATAAGTAATTTATTTTTGATTGGATCTAACTGTAATTAAAGGTTACTGGTTGAAACAAATGTTCTCGGAACACCTTTAACTATCCCACGGAAGCCTATGTTGGGAAC